GAGATAGCTTGGTTATGGAACCCACTTCTAAACAAAAGGTTCATATGTTCTGTATATCTTACCTACACGGTCTGAAGGTAATTTTCTGCAATGTTGTTAGTGCACTCGTGTCTTCTTGGCGCTGTGTGAGGTCGGCTGTAAAGGGGAGCAGGCCAACACTTAGAAGCTGGGGTTCTGGAGCCTTCACTTCCAGGCCAGACTTTCTCTGTCTGCAGTCACCCTTCTTACACGCTAGTGTGCTGTGCAGGTTTTACAGTCAATGTATTGTTTCCCCAGTGACCCACATGGCTCATTTAATCTTCAGCTCTGAGCAGATGGGCAAATCGGCAAACCCAGATCCTCTATCATCCATCTCACACTTCCCAATTTGAGTTGGTTTGCTTTGTTAGCATTTCAGTCGGTGAGAGTAAAATCCTCGGGTGCGAGGGAATTGACAAGTCATTAGAAGCTATGTTTTGGGATGTTGGTTATTAAGGGAAGTTATTTTAAAAATACAACAAAGAGCCAGGCGGTGGTGGTGCACACCCTTAATCCCAGTACTTGGGAGGCAGAGGCAGGCGGATCTCTGTGAGTTCAAAGCCAGCCTGGTCTATAAGAGCTAGTTCCAGGACAGGCTCCAAAACTACATAGAAACCCTGTCTCGAAAAATCAAGACCAAAACAAAACAAATACCAAACCAAAACAAAACAGCAAAGTCCAGTATTTTAACACTGTACTACTTTCCAAGGTTTTCCAGTAAAATACAAGAATAATATGTGCAAACTAATTTTTAAGTATTTAATATCTATTGCTTATATTTGGTTAAGCTGCCACCTATTAATCATTGGGAATATCATTTCTCTTCTGCTGTGCCAGAGCTCCCTTTTGTCCCTGGGCCTGGTCTCAGTACAGACCCATGTCATACTGCAATGTGTGCTTCTAGCTCGATCAGCAGTTCTCAACCTGTGGGTCACAACTCACACAGGGTTTGCATATCAGAATTCCTGACTGTCAGGTATTAGATTGCTGTTGGCAGTAGTTTCTGCCCCATCCGGTCCCGCAGACGTTCAGTCCCAAAGAAACACACAGAGGCCTACATTAATTTTAAACTGGTTGGCCTAGTAGCTCAGGCTTCTTATTAACTAATTCCTACATCTTAAATTAGTCCATGATTCTTATTTGTGTTAGTCACATGGCTTGGTACCTTTTATCAGTAAGGCGTTCTCTTCTTTCTTCCTCTTGGTTTGGATGATGGCTACAGACTGAGCCTTTTCTCTTCCCAGAATTCTCCTGTTCTGGTCACCCTGCCTATACTTCCTGCCTGGCTACCGGCCAGTCAGCATTTTATTAAACTAATAGAAGTGACAATTCTTTACAGGGTACAAGAGCATTGTCTCATAGTACTATGGTGCACACACAATCCCACTTGGGTGTGGCCTCTTAATGGCTACTGGTGAAGGAATTTCTCCAGCACATCGCAATTCATAGCAAATGAGTTAATGAGGTAGGAATGAAGATAAGTTCATAGTTGAGGGTCACCGCAACATGGGGAACTGTATTAAAGGGTCGACACGTTAGGAAGGTTGAGAGCGGGTTCCCTAGATGATATTACTGGATATTCCATACTTTGTATTAGGAATGTTGTAAAAATAGTCACTGTGTACAGGTTATGTTTGAATTATTGCAGTATTTGTCCGTAAGTTTTCTTCTCACATCTAGTTGGCTTCTTTTTTGTTATTTCTGTTACTACTGCGTTCATTACATAGACGTGTTGAACCCCTAAGATTCTGGTGCTATAGAGCCACATACTTTTCTCTCCTCTCTTACTCTGCCCTGCTCACCCTTCCCTTTCTTCCCTTTCCGTCACTTCCCTCCCTCTCTGTCTTCCCCATCCCCACTCCATTCCCTGTCCCTCTTCTCCTCCTTTCTTCTCCCTTTTCTTGAGAGTCCCTGTATCTGGTCTCCTCAGTACCTATACCAGAATTTACAGAAGCCACTTTATGAGGAAGAAATCTCAGAGAAAGTTGCCAAAGCTGATTTTCCTCCTGTGTACAAATAGTGATGAAAATAAATCCAAGGATACAGATGTTTGATGCTACCCAGTGAACCCTTTGGTTTATCCATAAGGAGAAGCTAACGTAAAGACCAATAGATTTCAGTGAATTAACACAATCAACGTTTACTTCTCTGCTTGCAAAATGGAATGGACAGAATTACCATGCACAGCCCTGCCCCATGGCGCTTCCCTGAGAATTTAGGAACTGTAAATTCTGATTGTGGCTCCAGGATGTGTCACCAAAGGCCAGTGCCATGCCCTCCCTCCCTCTGACTGCAGCAGTCCAGGACAGGCTCAATAGCTAAAGTAAAACCCGTCTAAACAAACCACAAAAACAAAACAAAACAAAATCCCATTTAACTGAAATAAGAATGTCATAGGGAAAATAGCTTTTCCGTTAACACAGGTGAGCATAAAACTCAGCCGCGCTCGTCATGATTCCGAGCACCATCTTTAGCAAGCGCAGGGATTGCACAGGAGCCTCAGAGTCTTGCGGTCATAGAGTGAACCCCTCACAGCACTTGGTACTATTGCTCCTTGATAGAAGTCATTTTAGTCTGAGTTTGGAATGGCAATTTTGTGTCTTTTGTACTAAAATTTTTTTAAGGACATAATGATATTTCTGAAATTAATATGGACCCTCAGACTCTAAAGTACCAATTTCCAGCACTATTAATAACATTTACGCTACTAACCTGAGAGTAGCATGCGAAATACGGTTTCTATGGAAATAACTGAGATGCAGACAGAACTTCTCAACTTAGACAACTTTGGCAGTCTGAATATAAAATCATGGTGTGTGTGTGTGTGTGTGTGTGTGTGTGGTGTGTGTGTGTATGTGTGTATGTGTGTGTATGTGTGTGTATGTATGTATGTGTGTGGTGTGTGTGTGTATGTGTGTGTGGTGTGTATGTATGTGTGTGTGGTGTGTGTGTTTATGTGTGTGTGTGGTGTGTGTGTATGTGTGTGTATGTATCTGTGTGTGTATGTATGTGTGTGTGTATGTGTGTGTGTATGTATGTATATGTGTGGTGTGTGTGTGTGGTGTGTGTGTGGTGTGTGTATGTATGTGTGTGTGTGTGGTGTGTGTGTTTATGTGTGTGTATGTGTGTGTGTGGTGTGTATGTATGTATGTGTGTGTGGTGTGTGTGTGTATGTATGTGTGTGTGTGGTGTGTGTGTATGTGTGTATGTATGTGTGTGTATGTGTGTGTATGTGGTGTGTATGTGTGTGTGTGGTGTGTGTGTATATGTGTGTATGTATGTGTGTGTATGTGTGTGTATGTGGTGTGTATGTGTGTGTATGTGTGTGTATGTGTGTATGTATGTGTATGTGTGTGTATGTGGTGTGTATGTGTGTGTGTGGTGTGTGTATGTATGTGTGCTGTGTGTGTATGTGTGTGTGTGGTGTGTGTATGTATGTGTGTGTGGTGTGTGTATGTATGTGTGTGTGTGGTGTGTGTATGTGTGTGTGTGGTGTGTGTATGTATGTGTGTATGTGTGGTGTGTATGTGTGTGTATGTGTGTGTGTATGTATGTGTGTGGTGTGTGTATGTATGTGGTGTGTGTATGTATGTATGTGTGTGTGTGTGGTGTGTGTATGTGTGTGTGTGTGTGTGGTGTGTATATGTATGTGTGTGTGTGTGTGGTGTGTGTGTGTGTGGTGTGTGTATGTATGTGTGTGTGTGTTGTATATTTTAAGTCGTTAAGCAGCATCCCACAGTGCCAGCCAAATCATGACAATAAAATGCCCCTGGACATTAAACATGTCTCTTTAAGGTAAACCACACCTGGTGGGGAGCTGCTCAGCCAGAGGGTGCTGCGGAGGCTTTTTCAGATGTGTAAGGGTTTCAGAATGTAGCGGGCTGATTCAGATTTACTCAGAACGGAATTGGTGTGAAGTGGCCAAAATGATTCTATTTTCATCCTAGGAGTTAAGGAAATGTGGAAAGCACTGGCTTGTGAGTTAGCAGTTCCCAGATGATTGTTTAATTAGGTAAATTGCATACTTAGTCACTCTCAGAGTTTACCAGGGATTTCTTTTCTAGACGGGATTTTGAACTAAATAATCTCTTAAATCCTTTTTAATGATAAGATGCTGTAATTTTGACAGTACTAAAGATACAGATTTGCAAAATTAATCCCGTTTGTCTCCCTCAACCCCCCTGTCTCTGCCAGTTCTGTGACTAAGCACAGGGTCGTATACTAATGAGGAAAAATGTCTTCCCACCAAGCTCTGTGCCCAGACCAGAAGTCTGGTTTTGAGAAACAGAGAAGTTCATTATTCACGCTGATGTATTAGTTTTAAAAAATGCCCACTTGTTCATTTTTACTTTGTGGGAGGGGATGACTGCATGCCACAGTTACAAGTGGCTTCAGGTGACAGCCCTCAAGAGTTGGTTTTTGTCTTCCCTCAGGAGGGTTTCAGAAATCAAACTTGGGTCATCAGGGCGACAGCAAGCACCTTTGCTCAGGCCGTCCTGGAAGCCCCATTAACTGAACTTGAAGGGTTATCCCTAATTTAAAGAAGGAATCTAGAATGTAATCAACATTTGTTGATTTAAAATGGTTCAAAAAGGATGAAAGAAAACAAAATTACCTAAGAGATTTCAAAGAATGAATATTTCCCATTGTCGAATGAGGAATGAGTCTGTTGATAGGGAAAAGAACATTTAGTTAAAGTTCAGGAAAGTTTAGTTGAAGTAGTTTGCAGACTGTGTCCTCTAAAATATGATATGGTAGATAGATACTAATCATTATTATCCTGAGTGATCTTATTGGTATAGAAACCAGGAAAAAAATTTCAGTTCAAAAAGAAACAAGTAAGTTGATAATGAAGAAATTCTTTTAGGAAATATTTATCATGACATGTTTTCCTCTATATATTTAATCTACCTTATGTTATTTTCCTTTACTGCATATTTCAAGTGTATTTTGAACACATTTATCTGTGCTTTATTTTCTAGTTGCTTTTTATCCTTGCTGCTGGTGGCTGCTGTGGTTTGGAAGATCAAACAGACTTGCTGGGCCTCCCGACGGAGAGAGGTAGTGGTCCCATTATCTAATCTCTGTGAGGGTTTGAGCAGCCGTGGATCTTGGCTAATTCATGCATATGCTCTTTCAAGTACAGAGTTACCAAGCCATTTATACGTTAGCATTGGACAGTTCTATGTTTATAAAATTCCACAGTTGAGCTGGGCGATGGTGGCACACGCCTTTAATCTCAGCACTTGGGAGGCAGAGGCAGGCAGATCTCTGTGAGTTCGAGGCCAGGCTGGTCTACAAGAGCTAGTTCCAGCACAGCCAGTGCTGTTACACAGAGAAACTCTGTTTTGGAAAACAAAATAAAACAAAAAACAAACAAACCAAAAAAGAAATTCAGAGTTGACAACTACAATCGTTTAGGTCATTACATGTGCTCATGATAACTGTACTTCAGACAGGAGGTGAGCAGAGGCAGTCTCGTGGTGCTTTGCCTGTGCTAACAACGCTGACTGAGACTGTTAAGTGCCAGAAGAGCAAGGCCTCATTTGTCTTGTCTACATGATGATGCTCTCTCAGACACCGAGCTGCTGATTCTCCTTACGATTCAGGGTCAGCTCTGATGGACAGAATGTTAGTTTTTCTGCAGTGATTTCTTTTTTAACTTAGAATTCTTGTGCTTGTCTTAAGAAGTTGTGCTTTTCCAAATAGAAGGGGCGTTTAAAATGGGAATGACTTGAAAAGTCATGCGTTGGGTCTACCACAGAGCACTTACTTCTTATTATTTGAATCTTTGGGTCTCTTAAACCTGACTATACTTTTTAATAATATAATTTTAATATCAGACACCTATGATTATTACTCCTATTGAATAAGACACCTAAGAGTTCAAGGGCTCTAAAAAACCTACCAAGACTTCAGTTTTGATATTACCTCTTCTACTTGGCTTCCCTGGTAACTTACCCTTCACATAATATGAAACCTTTCTTTTGGACTATGCTAATGGAATGGAACAAGAAGGGGACATTGGCTCATGGAAGTCAACACCCTAGAAGGGAACAAGAAGGGGATACTGGTTCGTGGGTTCGTGGAAGTCAACACACTGGAAGGGAACAAGAAGGGGATACTGGTTCGTGGGTTCGTGGAAGTTAACACACTGGAAGGGAACAAGAAGGGGATACTGGTTCATGGGTTCGTGGAAGTCAACACACTGGAAGGTGAAGCATTAGCACTGGTTATTCTCTTTACACAGGTGTTGAAAGCACTTAGCTTCAAGGATACATGCTAGGTTACTAGTCATCCCGTTAGAACAAACATCTGTTTACACCGGATGTGTGCTGAAACATGGCTCCATGGGTTGCTCTTCTGAGCGGCTTCCTTGTAATATTGGGGTGTGAGGTTTTATATGAGTTTGAGTGTTTAGCCTGTGTGTCTGTGCACCACATGGATGCCTGGTGTCCAGGCCAGAGCAGGGTGTGTCATACTTAGGAACTGAAGTTCCAGATGGCTGTGAGCTGCCCTGTGGGTCCTGGGGATTGAACCCATGTCCAAGAAGAATAGCAAGTGCTCCCATTCACTGAGCCGTCCAACGCTGAGTTTTCAAAAGACAGAGACAAATCAAGATGTTCTATTTTTTTCTTATAATCATATACTTGACAAGCAAAAGTACAGTGACTATATTAATAGTTAAAAGAAGTGAAGTATTTTCTACTTGGAAACTTACCTTTGCATGTCTTGAGTGTTTTACTTGGACTGTGTCTTTATACAGCAAAACCCACATTCATTAGCAAGGGGAGCCTCACTTTTGTTTAACTCCATATTATCCATGAGTCTTTAAATGCTGCGTTAATTTCTTGTAGCAGCATTATTTCCCTTATAAATTCAGTTAAATTTCCAGTTCTTCAGATTTTCAAAAATATTAATATAGAATTTAATCACATTATTCAACAACCTTTCTAGAATATTGTGCTCCTCTCATGCTTAAAAATAAGATAGCCAGGCGGTGGTGGCACACGCCTTTAATCTCAGCACTCGGGAGGCAGAGGCAGGCGGATCTCTGTGAGTTCGAGGCCAGCCTGGTCTACAAGAGCTAGTTCCAGGACAGGAACCAAAAAAAAAAAAAAAGCTTCGGAGAAACCCTGTCTTGAAAATAAAAAAAAAAAAAGAAGTAAGATAAAAAATCAGCTAAATTGCATGACATAAAGAGCTGTCCTGTGAACCTAACCATACCTCTTGGGGTTCTGACGCATAAGATCTGATTTAGATTTATTGTCATCAGCCTTAATCTGTGACTGAAAATGATCAACTGAAACTTAAGTGTAAGTCTGGGAGCTTCAGAGTTCACTGTTTTTCTTGCTGTATTTCAGACTGATTGGTAAATACTGCTAACAGCATGGGCTAAAGTTTTGAGAAAACTTCTCCAACTTTAAACCACATCCAGCACATTCCATATAAGCACACAATACTTGGGAAACTCCTGGGTTATTGTGTTTCGCCTGGGGTGAGGTTTGATCCATGAGAAGCCTTTTGGAAATGACACAAGTAATGCAGTGAATCAGGAACGTGGAGGGTAAGGTTGGACAAATGTTTGTAGAATTAAATAAAATACAATATTTACGATGATAATTTACAATATTTACAGTAATACAATATTGGCTCAAGCCTTTAATCCCAGCACTCAGGTGGCACTGGCTGGAGGATCTCTGTGAGTTCGAGGCCAGCCGGGTGTACAGAGCAAGTTCCTGGACAGGCTGCAAAGCTACACAGAGAAGCCCTGTCTCAAAATAAAGCAAATGTATTATATAATATATTATATTTATAATATGAAAAATATTTCCTGAAATTATAGTTTTTAGACATGGTTGGGCATTGTCATTGTTTAGGCCCAATTATTTAGGTAGATTAAGAAATTGCCACTGAGAATGACTCTCCTTGAGTAAATATTATCTGATTAATCATAAAACCTTGCATGTTATATATTCAGGCAAGTATCTGTACACAAATGTATTGGATATACATGCTTACATCTTTATTCCCCCAAATTTTTATTCTTTGTGTAAAATTTAAAATTATGAACTTAACTGGGAGTTTCATAAATGAGTTCACGGTATTCAAATCCTTCCCACCCCCCCACCAGCTCTTGCTGTGTTATATGTACACACACACCCTACTGAATGCAGTCAATGCTGCCTGTATGTTCATGTGCTTGGGGCTGATGAGCTAGGCCTGGGAAACCTATCAGGGGCCTTTCCTTGTAGATAGCTCCCCCTCCTTCAGCAGCCATTGGCTATGTAGAGCCCTTCATTGAGGGGTGGGACTTTGAGGAGTTTTTACCCATCCACTCGGTCCTGTCTCCTGGAGTGGTTTCATGCAAGCGACCATCTTGTTGAGAGTTCATAGGAGAGGCACGCTGCCATGTCTAGAAGAAGCTGCCTGCAGAAGTCACCCTTGTCCAATGGCTTTCAAAACACCCCTGGACGTTTCCTGAAATTTAGTTGTAGGGTGTATGCTTGAAATGGCTGAATTTGAGCTGAGCACTTTATGGCTATTTCTTTAAACTTTGACCTTTGTGGATCTCCGTAGTAGCCCCTGCCTTTTGCAGAAGGAACTCTGATGGGGGCTTAATATTACTCGTAACTGTGGAGAGAAGGAAAGTATTCGGATACAGTTGGTGGCTATGCTAATTTAGGAGCATGACCATAGTAGATGTAGATTCTCTTCTAGTGTCTCTGGCATCTTCAGGTTGCGTTCTTAGCTAACTTTACAGTATCAGGCGTGGAGTTCCCCCTTTTGAATGGACTCTCTGTCCATTTTATTGGGGATGTCTTGGCAGGCTGATCACTGTTGTGGTTTTCAAGCTTTGATACAGATGTTCACCCCTGCGCAGAGAAGAGACTGCCCGTTTAACATCCGGGCTCAGAGTGAGAGAGCAGACATGGTGTTCCCGTGTAAGGTGTGATTTGCATTTAAAGCAAGGGTGGGTGTGCTTGGGAAAAGTAGAACATGTGAACTATGTATATTACACTTCCGATTTAAAGAACAGTTCTTCAATATGGTAATTAGATTTTAAATAATATATCCTACAGATATATAACTACCTAGTTCTCCAAAGTGAACTCATTCAAAGACATTAATAGAAAACTCTTGCCTATGAAGACAATTTCATATTATTTCAAAAGATTCTTGAAGTATGTTCTGCCTTCTTACTTTGAGTTGTATGTAGCCGAAACAGAATGATGTGCAGGTGTGTTAGCATGAAACGTGCTGTTCTTTCTTCTAGTAACTTTCTGAAGTAGTGTTGCAAGTCTACTCAGAAAACAGAAGCAAATCAGTCAGACCAAATCCTAGCCTCAGAAAGTTGAACACCTTAAGTCTTTCTTTATCTGGGACATCCGAGCAATCCCTTCTGATAGCTTGTGCTCATGGGAATGGCACTATGTATAGATATGGGCACCACCAGTCACAGACAAATGCTTATGCCAGAGCCAAGAAAGAGAACCTAAAAGTTTAGATGACTCCCGATTCGTCAAAAATAGTATTTAACCCTTGCCCTAAGAGATGCAGTTTCCTTTTTCCTGCTTATGGATTCTAGAGGGGAGTGCTTGCTAGCTGGACAAGCTATAGTTCAAAATGGGGCCTGTCAGATTCCAGAATCCAAGCTCAATGAACTATATAACAACTTCCAAAGATAACCTACATGTAGGCAGGTTTGGTTTGTAATTGGCTATTTATAATGTACCATAAGCATCCGTTTGTTGTAGTGGGAATGCACTGTGGGTTCTGTAATATGAAGACATGATCAATCCTTATTTGATGTAACTCGAGGAAGACAGAGCAATGCTTGCTTAGCTCCAGCACAGCGCTCCCTCACCACCGAGAATGTTCATTCTATATTTATTGAAAGGTCTTTCATAAGATCATTTAAAGATTGACTTAATCATATAAAATTCACATTTATACAAAGAAAATAGAAACAAATTAAATTACTTCATGTACTTCTAAAAATTTTAAACTTAATAATCTATGTTTTCATAAATCATTTTTGAGTAGTTGAAGAGGATTTA